CTGGCCTCCCCCATGCCCCTCCAGGGCGGCGGGGCACAGCCGGCCTCACCATGGTCAGCACCACGGGCTGCTGGGGAATATCTGCTCCGGCACCTGGAGCACCTCCTCCCCCTCCTTCTCCGCTGACCTTGGGGTCTGCGAAGTTGTTCCTCTCACATCTTGTGCTCTCTGTCACTCTGCTGCAAAAATCTCTTTTTTGTTTTTTTCCCCTTAAACATGTTATCCCAGAGGTGTTACCGACATCACTGATGGGCTCGGCCTTGGCCAGCAGCGGGTCTGTTTCGGAGTCAGCTGGCATTGGGTCTGTCAGACACAGGGGAAGCTTCCAGCAGCTTCTCATAGAAGCCACCCCTGTAGCCGCCCTGCTACCAAAATCTTGCCATGCAAACCCAATAGACCTATTTACAATAACTTGATCAATCTTTTAAAATAAGCATTACTGTTGGCCTGTTATTGAAAGCATTTCCATATTTAATTTTCAGCTGTTCATATTTTTTCAGGATTTCTCTATAACAAAGTCTCTCTCATATTTTTTTAACAGAGATATCTGACCATCCCAGACCTAGTATTTGCTACAACCAGAGACTGAAATGGTATGACTGGAGCTTTAAATAATTCGGCTTTGGCAGCTTCATCATTTTCTGAGAACTTGGAACGGAATTTGGGGTCTGCTTCTGCACTATCCTAGGTTATAATGCCATCCTTGCCTAATGAGGGAGGTATGATAGTCTTGGATTTTTAATAAAGCTTATTAATTATTCAGTATGCTTGTACTCCTGAGTTGCAACAAGGTAAATGTTTGTATTTTTAGTTCATTTGTATGTGTTATTTGAGATATAAAGATGTTGATAGTTACCACATTATTTTTCAAAGATAACCATGGAACTGCTCCTCTGACTTTGAGTTCGGAACTACCCTATCAAAGCACAATTAAAAGAAAAGTCAGAAAGAAGAAGAATGGAGTCATCACTGCAAATGTTGCTGGCACAAAATATGAAATTGGTAGGAAGTTACATATTTTGTTTTCTTCTAATAGCTATTGACATGAGTGAATTACTCTTTAATGGGGTGAATTAATGGACTTTACACCATCCTGACAGTGAGATATTTCCAAAGGATTTTCTTTTGTAAGAAACCTTTTTTTTTTTTTTTTTTGGTAGCGTTGATTTGGTGGCTTTGAACACTGTGCATCTGTTACTCCCCATTTCTTACTCAGGCAAGGGCCTTGAAATGCAAAAACATAAGTAATCAAAAAGGCCTTGGAAAAACCCTCTAATTATGAATTATGTATGTGTTTGGAAGTTTACTTAAAGCCTTGAAAGATGACCAGTGTAAATTTAATGTTAAATACTCTAATTATTATACAGAGTTTTCTCAATAGAATCTACTAATGTTTTGCATTTTGATGCTTGGGGCTACTTCAGAAAAATCTTTCTCCTAGAACCTGAGTTATGCCTAGCACATAATAGGTCTTTTCTCTTTTTTTATGTTAAAATAATATATATATTTGCATTTGTAACTGCTGTACTTTGTCTAAGGAGGCACTCTTGTCCCCTGTCTGCAGTGACACTTACAGTCATCACTGATTTAAAATTAACATAGGTGACAGCCAAGATTAAGTCTAAAAGCTGTGCAAGGGGACTTTAATAGATGATTGTGGAACACCCTGAAGCTCTTTGCAGTTCCCATCAGTCGTTGTGCTCTGATTCCAGCCTCAGTAGAAGGTGCTGTAACATTGCAATGACATGTTTGCAATAGACTGATGGAAATACGGCAAGATAAATAATAGCTTGCATGATAACATTGGTCTCAGACAAAGGGTTGGATATTGTAAGAGTATAAAATCTTAATCAGTTTTTAAAATTTTGAAAATAAATCTATTTTAGAGATTCAAAAAACTCCTTAAGTATGTGATTTCTCCATAGTACGTGTAGTAATACGAGAAATGGGATTTGTGAAAACACGCGATGAAGATGAAACAGCTAATCTTATATGGAGTGATTCTGCTGTGCAACAAGAAAAGATTGCTGAACTTCGGAACTATCAGGTAGAGTGGTAGTTAGAGTTTCTGGCATGTTTCAGTAAACTGCTTCACACTGAAATGTTCAGTAGTGTGTTACTTCTGGTCAGTTACATCTGTATGGAGAGAAAAAACCACAAACTACAAAACACCACCACCCAGACAACAATGAGGCTATACCACTACACATTGTAAAATCCTATTCTCTTTTCCAGAGTTATTTATTCATACCACTTGGAATCTGGTGTTAAAATATTTGGGTCTGTTCTTTCATGCTTTTGTCTGCCTATTGGGTGTTGTGAGTGATCAGAGTTTGAAAGAAGATGCAAAACATCATTTATAAGTTGCTCATAAGCTTTTAAGCAGTAAGTTAACAAGCAGAGCTCTCTCCCCAGTTTCTGTGAATAAATAATTTCTTTTTTACCATTACCTTCTGATAGCATCTTTGTTCCTAGATAGCTTTGTGAATAAGAGTATGATAGCCTCCTTTCATGTCTGAAATGAAATCCATGGGCATTCTCATGTTGTTGGAGGAGAATACAACTTACTGTATCTGTAGTATGGCTAACAATACATAGTATAATGTAAGAAATCATCTTAAATAATTTAAACGTAACACTAATTCTGTTTGCCTGAGCATGCAGTTGAATGTTTTAAATGATTGTATTAGGTATGCCAGAAAAACTAAAACGTACCAACTAACTAACTTTTTTTTTTCCTTCCTCAGAGAATCAACCATTTTCCAGGAATGGGCGAGATCTGTAGAAAGGATTTTCTGGCAAGAAACATGACTAAGTAATCTTTCTTTTAATATTAAGAAGCTTTTCAACCGTAATATATAATGCAGTACAACACTCAATTATTGCTTGTAGGATTTGTTTATTTTTAGTAAGAGGTTATGAGAGGACCAAGAATAATTTCTGAAGTTCCTTAGTAACTTTGGCTTTAGTCCTGGGTCTGTAGCATTGGAGTGGACTATTGTATCTCTCCAACTGACTTCAGTGGAAAATAATGTGCTATCTGTCTCTGTCTATGCATTACAGAATGTAGGAGAGCCTTAAATTATTGTATAATAGTCTTAATACATAATACATCCCGGCATATATCCTGCATTTAGAACAGAAAAAATAACTAGTATGTGGATGGATATTATTTGTTTAAAGTATTTAATGACTGTATTTTTGTGTATATCAAATTTAAAAAATGTGAAACATCTTACTGTGCACAATGCCGAGATTGCGCATATTATAGATAAGATGGGAATAAAGTCACTGATAAGATATCTCTGGGTCAAACATATCTATGTTGTGACTTCACTTAGTATCAGTAGATATAGCAGGGTTTTAATCAGTCTGGTTTTCGTAGTACTAGCTTCAAAATTCAATAATTGTATTCATAGTTTATAAAAATCAAAATGATACACCTTGAGACTGCTTGTGAAATGGACAGATATATGTGAAATCACACATTCTTCTTCTTCTTCTTCTTTTTCTTTTACTTCTACTTTTGTTGTTACACTCATTTCACCCTTCCATTTAATACAGGCTGTTGGGAATGGAGAAATCACAAGCCTGTTGCAATGTATGGTTGGACAGGCTCTTGTCTGTAGAGTGGAGGATTTTGTTCCATACATCTGCTGTGCTGTCTTGAAATTTGTTTGAACAGAATAGTGCAGAAACACTTGTTCTTTTCTCTTGCTTTGCTGCTGCATGCAATGCTTTCTATTCCTGTTACTGACTTGTACAGAATAGCTGTGGGTTTCGTCCTGTTGAGAGTTCAGGAAACAACTAGTGAGAATTGGTGAAGAGTAGACAAGTGCTTCTTCTTCTTTTTCTTTTACTTCTACTTTTGTTGTTACACTCATTTCACCCTTCCATTTAATACAGGCTGTTGGGAATGGAACGAAAGAACAAATCTACTGGAGTCTTAGAGGCAAATGCTATTCTTAAGGAATTGCTCCTCGGGAATTTTTCATACAGCCAGTATTCAGGCTCTCTCAATCACAGGGCAATGTGGTTTTAACACGCAGAAGGGTGGAAGGGAGCGGTGTAATATGTAGCATGTGTACTATGAAAGGAGACAACCCAGCACAGGTGTAGGGACACAGTGTCATGAAATGGATAGAAGCAGGAAAAAAAAACAGGCACAAGCATCGTTTTCAAGGCGAATAATCATATCATAGAAAAGAAAAAAATAATAGATGCCATTGTAGAGCCAACTAGATATTAATTTCTTGAAATAGTCTCTTAGATGAGGTCTCCTCATGTGAAGGATAAGTGTGGTTACAGAAGGAATACAGTAAGTGGGGGAGAAGGTGTCCAGGATGAATGGGAAGGGGAACAGACCCATGTATGAGATGGTCTTTTTTGCAGCACCTTTGTTGTTTATGTTTAAACTGTTTGTGAACTGATCACGGAGCAAGAATTGTTCTCATCCATACCTACCCCCTAACCTCTGTTCATACTCGAAGAGTCAGAGAATCTTGAAACCTGGGCAGTGGAACCTGCGTTATTAGAGTGACAAGTCATGTCTTTACTAACCTACGTTTTGTTCAACACCTTTTATTATTTTGCAGAGAAAGCACTCTGAGAAACAAGAGCACAGTCTTACCACATCTGTGAGCTAAAATAACACTCAGAAGAACAATAACATACTGTTTAATTCTCAGACCTCCTGCTAAGGACTGCAAAAGCTAAAGGCTGGAGCAGAACAGTGAGGAAGTGGTTACCCACAGTAGTGGGTAGCAGATGTGCCGGAAAATAGGGCTATTGTAATGAATAGGTCTTGATTCCACAAGCTACTTGATGATGTTCCTAAGCCATTTCTGAATAGGGCCATGCGGGGAAAGAACAGAGCTGAATTATTTTGTTGAAAGTTTTAGTGAGCATCAGAATTTGTAAACATTGGTTAAGTATTCTGCTTTGCATTATTAAGAGTTTGTAGTCTACCCCGTTATGCATAAATAGAAAAGGGCATGTAGAACTGAGGTACTTGCAGTCACAAAATAATACATCCAGAAAACCATGAAGTATTGAATAGGGAGCATGTGTACTGAAAGCTGTGAGGAAGTTAAATGGCATTTCTTTATCATATAGCATTTCACGATGCATATGATAAGGAATTTGGAGAGGGATAGAAACTAACACAGAAATTGCTTTATGCCTAAAAATAGGATAATTTCTGCCTAGATAATCTATCTAGTTAGCAAGGTAATAACAGCTCTAAATCATAAAATCATAGAATGTTTAGGTTGGAAAAGACCTTTGTGATCAAGTCCAACTGTTAACCCAGCACTTCTAAGTCCACCACTAAACCATGACCCATGACATCTTAAATACATCCAGGGATGATGACTCCACCACTTTCCTCAGCAGCCTGTTCCGATGTCTGATAATCCTTTCAGTGAAGAAATATTTCCTTATATCCAAACTAAACCTCCTCTGGCACAACTTGAGGCTGATTCTCTTGTTCTATCATTTGTCACTTGGGAGAAGAGGCTGACACCCACCTCTCTGCACTCTCCTTCCAGGCAGTTGTAGAGAGTGAAAAGGTCTTGCCTGAGCCTCCTTTTCAGGTTTAACAACCCCAACTCCCTCAGCTGCTCCTCACAGGACTTGTGCTCCAGACCCTTCCCAGCTCTGTCGCCCTTCTCTGGACATGCTCCAGCACCTCAATGTCTTTCTTGCAGTGAGAGACCCAAAACTGAACACAGTATTTGAGGTGCAGTTTCACCATTGCCCATTAAAGGGGGAGAATCACTTCCCTAGTCCTGCTGGACACACTGTTTGATGCAGGTCAGGATGCCATTGGCCTTCTTGGCCACCTGGGCATGCTGCTGGCTGACCTGGCACCCCCAGCTCCTTTTCCACTGGGCAGCTCTCCAGCTACTTGTTCCCAAGCCTGTAGCATTGCAGGGGGTTGTTGTGACCCAGGTGCAGGACCACCACTTGGCCTGATTGAACCTCATACAATTGGCCTTGGCCCATCGATCCAGCCTGTCCAGATCCCTCTTCAGAGCCTTCCTGCCCTCAGGCAGATCAAATCTCTGGCCCAACTTTGTGTTGTCTACAAACTTGCTGATGTTGCACTCTATCCCCTCATCCATGTCATCAGTAAGGGCATTAAACAGAACTGGCCCCAACACTAAGCCCTGGGGAACATCACTGGTGACTGGCCACCAACTGAATTTGACTCCATTCACCACCACTTTTTGGGCCCAGCTGTCCAGCCAGTTTTTTACTCAGTGAAGAGTATGGCTCCCAGCCATGGGCAGCCAGTTTCTCCAGGAGGGTGCTGTTGGAAATGGTATCAAAGGCTTTACTAAAGTTCAGGCAGACAACATCCATAGCCTTTCCCTCATCCACTAAGAGGGTCACCTTGTCATAGAAGGAGGTCATGTCAGCCCAGCAGGACCTGCCTTCCATAAACCCATGCTGACTGGGCCTGATCACCCGGTTGTCCCGTATGTGTCACGTGATGGCACTCAGGATAATCTGGCCCATAACCTTCCCTGGCACTGAGCTCAGACTGACAGGCCTGTAGTTCTCCACATCCTTCTTCCGGCCCTTCTTGTAGATGGACACCACATTTGCTAACCTCCAGCCAACTGGGACCTCCCCGCTTAGCCAGGACTGCTCATAAATGAGTGAAAGCAGCTTGCTGAGCACTTCCACCAGCTCCCTCAGTACCCTTGGGTGGATTCCATCTGCCCCCATAGACCTATGTGTGTGTCTATGTGGTGTAGCATGTTGCTAACCATTTCCCCTTGGATTATGGAGGCTTCATTCTGCTCCCTCTCCCTGTCTACCATCACAGGGGGCTGGGTATCCAGAGAACAACTGGTCTTGCTATTAAAGACTGCAGCAAAGAAGGCATTAAGTACCTCAGCCTTTTCCTCATCCTTTGTCAGTATGCTTCCCCCACATCTAATAAATGATGGAGATTCTCCTTAGCCCTCCTTTTGTTGGTAATGTATTTCTAGAAATGCTTTCTATGTTTTTTTTACAGCAGTAACCAGATTAAGTTGTAGTTGGGCTTTGGCCCTTCTGATTTTCTCCCTGTATAACCTCACATCATCCTTATAGTCCTCCTGAGTTGCCCTCCCCTGCTTCCAGAGGTCATAAAATCTCCATTTTTTCCTGAGTTCTAGCCAAAGCTCTCTCTTCACCCAGGCTGGTCATCTTCCCCACTGGCTCATCTTCTGGCACATGGGGACAGCCTGCTCCTGTGCCATTAAGATTTCCGTCTTGGAAGAATGGCTGGCCTTGATGGACTCCTTTGCCCTTTAGGACTGCCTCCCAAGAGACTCTGTCAGCCAGTCTCCTAAACAGGCCAAAGTCTGCCCCCTGGAAGTCCAAGGCAGCAGTTCTGTTGACCCCCTCCTAACTTCTCTGAGAATCGGAAACTATCATTTTGCGATTGCTATGCCCAAGGCAGCCTCCAAACATCACATCACACACAAGTCCTCTATCCTCTGCTTATCTCTAGTGAGGCTGGTTTTATCCCTTTCCCCTTTCAAATCCAGTTTAAAGCCCTTTCAATGAGCCCTGCTAACTCCTGTGCAAAGATCCTTTCTCGCTTTGGGACAGGCGTACCCCGTCTGTCTCCAGCAGGCCTGCTGTCATGTGACGGACCCATGATCAAAAAACCAAAATCCTGCCAGTGACATCAGGCTCAGAGCCAGGTATTGACCTGATGGCTGTTCCTGTTTCTTCCATCGTTTCCTGCAACTGGAAGGATAGAGGAGAACACTACTTGTGCTCCTAACCCCTTAACCAGTCATCCCAAGGCCCTGAAAAATGCAGTATTTAAATATATAGCAGATCAAGAGTAGTTTGAAAGCATGCATGAATTACGAATTATGCTATCTATTTATGATTTTTAAAACTTTTTCCGAATATCTGGTGGCTTTCATCAAAACAGATTTGTAAAAACAACAGTTACAGCGAAGCGGCAGAAGCACTGAACCTCATACAGTATTTCAGGACTACTATAGCTATTGTGGTTTCTACAGAGTGTTGGGTAGTTGGCTAAACAATTTGGTGACAGTGTATCTATTATACCAGTAGGGCTTGGATCCAGTCCGAGACTTACAGATGTGGTTGGCAGCTCTGTTTTTTCCGTTAGTATTTGAGCCATTTATAGAAAAACTGTCTTACACTGCATTAGGATAATTACGTAGGCTCATAGTAGAAGTGAAAAATTTAAATTATATTTTAATTCTCTTTTACATTTAAGTTATCCTGATAACTATCAGTTTTCCTTACAAATGTAGAAGTATACATAAATCTGTAATTAATTAAAAAGTATTAAAATTCATCATAGTGCCAATTTTGAAAAAATCAGAGTTGGGGAACTTCCTGTGTCAGTTAATTTCTCACTTTCTCTCCACTCACTTTCTATTGGTCTGTGGATATTGTATTTTAGATGTGTCCCCGCTGTGTTACGGAGTATAGAATCCTGGAATCACAGAATGGTTTGGCAGGGACCTCAAAGACCATCTAGTTCCAACCCCCTGCCATGGGCAGGGACACCTTCCACTAGACCAGGTTGCTCCAAGCCTCATCCAGCCTGGCCTTGAAGACAGCCAGGGAGGGGGCAGAGTATTTTTGAACTAATCTCATATGAAGTTATATAGGAAGTTCCAAGTATTTGGAGTACCTGGAGCAAGCTAGCTGCACCAGTATTTAATGCATCAATGACTAAATTTATTCTGCTGGGAACTGTGGGATACTAGTCTGCATCGTACCAGCAAGTCCACATTGCTCTTATAACTTGGCTGCCAACCAGTATTAAAGGTACTTTGTTTAAAGCTAACCCATATGTATCTAGGCTATATTGCCGGTCTGGTGTGGGTATATGCTTCCTATCTGCCAGATACACAGCTTTGGGTGATGGATACTTTTACTAACTAAATTCTCTGCCATTTTTCCTCTTCTGTTGCCTTTTCTGCATTCAGGCAAAAGATGTATAATATGAGACACGCACACTACCGCAGCTCCCACAGCTATTAAAGCAGGGAGATCAGGACCTTCCTAAATCCTTTAACCAGATTATTTCAGAGATTGTTACCTACGATATCTTAACCCTATTTTTGTTTTAGTTCCTCTGTTTTTCCCCCCTTGTCATGCTTTGCATTTCTTTGCTTTGTTTTGACTAAATAAGGTGCTCAGGGAATCTCAATGTCAATATGCTGGTACCAAACACAAATTCAGGCTTCTGTTTTGCCCTGTGTTGGAGGTGCATGAGCAGTTGCTTTGCCTTTGCCAAAGTAGATTTACTACAATTCCTTACTTTTGGAATTCCTTCAAAAGACTAGAAAGAAAACCCTCTTGTAAAATTACTTCCATTTGAATTTTAACTTCAGTCCTTGTTATCAATATTTTTTGCACCTTTGAAGAAACCCCTAGGATATCCCAGGGCCTGTTAGGTTTGGGGTTTTTTTTGTGTGTGTGTGTGTTGATCCTCATACATCCCCAAATACAAACCAGTATGAAACTTGCCAAATATCCCCACCCCTCCCAAGTAGGAAAAATAAAGGATTCCAGGAATCCAGGAGTCTATTAAGTAGGAAAAGATCTATAATCATGTGGTCTATTGTAAGTTTAATATGTTTAAGAATAGGTATTAAATCATATGAGTAACTGAACAAAAACTGTAACAGCAGAGATGGATGCAAAGAAATGAGATGGATGCCAACAACATTAATAAGCAAATACAATATGATAATAAGCAAAAATGCACAAGATGATAGTCTGTTTTTGTTGTTCTTATAGTATGTATATGTTATTGAGCTCTCACTGTTCTTAAACAGCTGCAGAAGCTTGCTTTCATATTACAGCATTTTGCTAAAGAAGTTTCCTTGTCAAATTATTGTAAGTGCTTTTTAATCCTGAGGATTGATACATCAAAGTAATTAAAAGATTTTAACTCAATTACACTTTTTTGCAGAATGATCAAGAGTCAGCCTCAGGAGTATAGTTTTATTCCTCGAACATGGATCTTCCCTGCAGAATACACACAGTTTCAAAACTATGTAAAAGAACTGAAGAAGAAACGAAGACAGAAAACTTTCATAGTCAAACCAGCTAACGGTGCAATGGGACATGGGTACGTTGCATGTTAACTTCAGTCTTCTTACACTTTAAAGGTGAAATCCAGTGGTATTTACACATTCACAGAAGCTGTGTATTACTAAGGAGTTTGTAGTGAAATATATATGATCAGTCTAAGAAAGTTCATGTATTGGACAAGGGCTTAACAAGCAGAAATAGCTAAAATATAAAGCTAAATTAAAGTGGAATTTTAATGTTCTGAATGTGGCATAATTGGAAAATGCATTTTGTGATGAGGCTCAAATAATTCTTAAGATCAGGATTATTTTTTTCGGAATTTATCTAAAGAATATATTTATTGATCTGTCATGCTTATGTGGTGAGATTGTATTGGGCATAAATGGCAGGTTTTGGTGGTTGGGGGCTGCAGGCCTGTCACTTGTGAGAGAAGATCAGGATCTTCTGCAGCTCTGACATGCATCCACACAACCCATTGCGTGCCAGAACTGCAGCCAGTTGGAGAAGCACACACATGTTTAGGAGTGGCAGGCATGAGGTGTAGGAGAAATAGAGGAGACACTGTTGGGGATGTGGCTGGAGGTGCACTCATGGAAGGAGGTGACACCCATGTCGGAGGAGGGCACCCCTGAAGAGACTGCAACGAGCAGTTGAAACTCTTTTTTGCCTGTGACATGGCTGCACGCTAAAAAGCAAAGAGATAAATACTGCATTTTCATTCTTAACTCTTTTCTTATATTTAGATATTTCAGTTTTATTGCTTTTAACACCAATTTGGATTATACAGTATAATGAGGCTCTTAGTTATTAAAAAATGCATCAGCATTACTGTAAACCCCTCAAACTTTTCCATTTCCTTATTCTTCAGTCCTTTTGATAAGGACAATGATAATCTGAAGGGAAAGGTAGCACCATATTTCAGAGAAATACCTGGAAAGTACTTCAGTATATTAGGAGTATTCAGCACCAGAACACTGAAATGTATCATAAGTAATGGAGGGTAAGATTAAGGCAACAAAGCTATGGTAATTCAGGGTTAATAATGAGATACACTGAAACATATTAGCTATTTAAATTATTTAAAAGTCTGTGTAGATAAGGACTGCCAATTTATAGTCTGTATATAAACCATTTTTCATTCTGATGTGGGGAAACTGGAATAGACAAACACTGGACTTTGTGTATGCCATCCTGAGTTGTACTGATCAGTCCTGCTTTGCAAACATCATTGCTGTCAGTTAGCACTGAAAGTTCTTTGCAACCTGTACCTGGGACAGAAGTTGTAACAAAGGCTGGGGGTCTATTTTTAGAGCTGCTCGAGGAAGAATAATCACGAAAGCTGGAGACTGGACATTCTGCCAAACAATTTCGAAGTGTAGAGTGAACCCATTATTACAAATTGTTGAATCAGAGGAAGGAGAAAGTTATTTTGAAATGGTTTGTTGCCTTTTTTCATCCAGTGAAGCACCATAAAGGACAGGAAACCAACAGCTGAGTAAGCGCATGGCACTTCTGTCTGTCATACAAAACAGATATGTCTCTTTCTCCAGGTAGACTTTAGCCTGACTGCCTGGCTGGGTGACCATGAAAATGAGTTTCGAAGAGTAATGTCATGTTCCATGTTTTAAAATAACTTCTGTTTTTACCAGGATCTCTTTAATAAGAAATGGAGAAAAGTTACAAGCTCAGGATCACTTGATTGTTCAGGAATATCTTGACAAACCATTTCTTATGGAAGGCTACAAGTTCGATTTACGTGTGTATATTCTTGTAACCTCCTGTGATCCTTTGAAAGTATTTTTATATCATGATGGACTGGTGAGAATGGGCACGGAAAAGTATCATCCCCCCAGTGACTCAAATTTGGTAAGTTGGGATTCATTCCAATTTATTGTTTATGTATGTAGAATTTTACCTGTGTCAGGTTTGGAGGAGGTAAAGTAAGTTGTGACATGAGGTTTAGTGTGATATTAATCTGGCTGAATTTTTGCATTGTCATTGAAGAGAAAAAAATTAAAGATATTGAACTTGTGCTTCTCTATAAAAATCACAAGTATAGATGTATTGTTGTTGATGTATAAAAATTTTATATGACCTTGCATGTATGTATGCTAAACAATTTAAATATTTCCTACAAGAAAGCAAAGGATATCAATTATTGACATTTCAACCCAGAAAAAACAAAGTAAAGAAAATCACTTCAAGACCCGTTACAGTGCTTTTATATTTATCTGAGATCAGTTTGCAGTGGGGTGGGGTTGAGGATAAGGTTTATCTCCTGCTAGATCATTGTGTAACAGCCCTGAAGTTTAGAGTTCAGCTGTGGATGCTGCAGCATTTCAGCCATTGTGTTGGGAACCTATGCAAAAACCAGAAAAACAGCAATACAAAGACCAGTGCGTGAGAGTGGGCACTGGACTCCCTGAAGGTGAGGGGTCTGCTGCTGGTGCTGTTTGGCAGTGACGGCTTCAGCAGGGAAAGGAGTATGTACTTGGCCACTTTAGGATGATACAGCGGGGCTGCCTGCAAACTTGCAAAGAACCAAGAAATGGTAAGGGACATGCTGAAGCTTTTGGAGACTTCAATGCTCCTGGTCACTGGAGGATTCCCCTCCATCTTCCCCTCTGAGAGGTGTAACACCTCCCTTCAGGCACAGACCAAAATGCAGATGTCTGATCAGAAAGTAGATTTGAAGCACTGGAAGTCTTCAGTCTGTTTGAGATTCTTACACCTCTCTCTGTGCTCTGTTGCTACTGTATCTTTCCATTTCCATACCATGTACTTTTAGAGCCAATTCAGTGTAATTATGCGACACACAACACATGGAGAGTCTTTTTCCAGACTTGTCACTAAAATTGTGACTGTCCCTTGATGCTCCTTTGAAGAATGCAGGTGTAATTTGGAGTCCAGTTCAAATGGTGTATTTGAAAGAGTTCCAGTATTGTATTTGGAATAGTTTGCTTTTAATAGTTTTTTACTGTTATTAATCTCAGCATTAGCAGCACTGAAATACACTCTGAGTGGATAAACAGAACAGGCAGTTGCTTCTGTTCTCTCACAACTGTTCATGTTGTAGTTTGTCTGTTGTAAGAAATAACCTGGTTTATCACTAATGATACTGTTCTTTGGATGACATTGTTCCACAGTGACATTGCTCCAGATAACTTCAGACTAAAATTAGTTCAGGTGTTTAACAAATGTTCTAAAAACACTCTCATTTTTTGTAGTCTGAAAATTAATTGCTTTTGTCTGAAAAGATTTGAGTTTTATGGAAAGATGACGTTTATAACAACTCAGAACCAGTAGGTTTCAGAATGATTCTCAAAGCAGTAATTGGAAGCTATGGGAGAAATTCATTACTTGTAGCGCTAATACAATATATTGTTAACTAGTCTGCAATTAAGTTGATAGGCTTTTTTTATTTCATGAAGTTTTTTTAAATGTAACTAAGTGTAGTGAGATAAACGGCAGTGTAAGGCATGTGTTCTCTATTGACTATCTTATCAAAAAGGAATTGGAACAGAAGGCTTATGGTCATCTTAGAACTTCAGCTACACTCAAGGAATCAAACATGACAGAGAACTGTCACTGTGATGAGGACAGCCATCACAGAAAGCTGAAAATATGTACTGAGAGATAATGTAAATGTAATAATGATGATTTATAAATCGGCCTTGGAAAGGTTTGGGTTTTGTGTTTGGTTTTTTTTTTTTTTTTGAATGCAACTGGTAACATGAGTCTGTTACTGGTGGTGCATATCTTGAAATTTACCTTCCTCTGATGTATGGCTAAAAGCCATTCAAAAATGAGGATTTTTGGCAGATATCAACATGGCAGATAAGTTTATATGTAAAAAAATATTGTAAAGTATCACTATCATGGAACATTTTTCATAAATAAACTACAGTGAAGACTGAAATGTGGGATTGTCTGTGGAACATATGCCAGAGTATTTTTTAGCACTTTTAAAGTAGCACTTCAAAATACCATCTTTATTGTTTGCTTCCTGTGGAATGTAATCATTCTGTAAGTTATGATAATTGCTCTTCACTTTTTTAGGTAGCTGTTTACATACAGACCTGTAAAAATGGTGGATATATTATGTAGCCTAACGAGATGTTGAGTCGTAGATGAATTGACTGTAACTGGCTTAAATACGAGCACAGGTTTTGTTTTAAGAAGGTTAGAACATTCAGTAGATGAAATCTCCAAGAATCAGAAACACTACATCTGCACATACTGTGTTGGCAAATATGAACTGTTTGTCTATGTCATTATTGATTTAACATATTTTTTTTCGTTTCATTATTTTGAATTGACTATTCTAGAGTGGTAGTTAAGGATTTTTTAATGTCTTTTCTCCCTTTTTTTAGAGTCAATTGTATATGCATCTGACTAACTACTCTGTCAATAAACATAATGAACACTTTGAACGGGATGAAACAGAAGACAAAGGAAGCAAACGCTCCATAAAATGGTTTACTGAGTTTCTGGAAACAAATAATCTAGATGTCTCCAAATTCTGGAGTGATATTTCGGTAAGATAAAACTGATACGCTTTTCTTTATTATGTGCATATGTATTCTTAGAAAATTAATTGCTTCTCCCATCCACTTTACTAGAGTGTCCAGCATGATTTTTATTAATGACTTTATCAATCCAAATGCTCAGCAATGCATGCCACAAAAGACATACTATAAATGATAATTATGTTTTATACGAGACTAAATTCGGAGTTTGATTATAATTTTAATGTTAACCTTCTGCTGAGGGACAAAAGCCCTTTCAAACACTTTCATATATAATATGATACGAAGAAATGATCCCATTTAAATTCTTGGAGGCTTTTCTACAGTGTAATCTCAATTTTATGTGAGAATATTTACAGAACTGTAGTCAGTCTTGTATATATCTGTGTATTTGAACCTGCACCACAGAAGTTAGTGGTAATTTTACAGGTGTCTTTAGGTGAGGAATAGGCCTAAATTGTTAGAGGAGCTTAGGCATCATCTGTACATATGATTCTGAGAATATTTGTTGAAAATTGTATTGCAAAATGAAATGGGTGAATATTGCTATACTGTGTTTCCAATATGCCTTTAGTATTTAAGTTATTACCTATCTAAAAGTATGTATGTACTATGGAAAATATTACAATATACTCTAGAGTTATATAAAAAAATCTATCTGTGACTCCATGGGAATACTTTTACTTATTATAGACCATTTATTTGGTATTTTAAATATTTTTTTTTGGTAGATACTTGAATAAAATTTAGAAGATTAAAGTATGAAACACATCAGTTCAATATATACTGGTGTCTTCTCTCCTGATGAATTTTTCTGAAAAAAATCCCTACAGGAGTTAGTAGTGAAGACTCTCATAGTTGCAGAGCCACATGTTCTTCATGCTTATCGCATGTGCAGGCCAGGGCAAGCACCAGGAAGTGACAGCGTCTGCTTTGAAGTCCTGGGATTTGATATTCTGCTGGACAGAAAGCTAAAACCATGGCTTCTAGAGGTAAACCTCTTTAAACAAATACAAAGTAAATTTTGAAGAGTAAAGTTAACTAAAGCCCAACTGACCTGTATCTGTGTAAGAAAATCTGTGCATTGCAGAAGTACTGTTGTTGAGTACATAGGTGGTGTTTTTTCTGCAGCATCAATATGGAAACACTTCCTTGCAGGGATTTTTGGAGACTCAGTTGAAGGTAATTGTCTTTCTGGAGGAATGTTGCATTTCAGATGTTTTTGAAAGTTTTAATGTGAAATACCACGTTAATTTGTTGTTACTGTAGCTGAAGGACTTTGTTTATCGCAATTGGGTCCTACATAGACTTCCTTCATCAGTATGACCCTGTATATGTCTCTAGCAACTTTTGTGAATGTATGGTCTTAATTTTCTTTTCTCCGGATATGTGTTCTTTTCCTCTCCTGTGGCCTTTAAAAGCACCCACATAGACAGAGGAAACTGATTCAGCATACATGAAATGCTGTCAAACAATTGGTGTGAATGGACTGGAAGAAATGTTTCTCCTCTGAGATGTTACTGGTACAGTTAAGTTTAAGTGGTGCTTGAACACATTTTCAACCAGGATTGTTTGAGGTTTGTCTATTGTGTCTCTTTAATTCCACTACTAATAACACATACATGAAGTTCACTTGTCTCTTTTTCAGATGTCTTACATCATTATGTTAACTGGTTGGGAGGCTTACAGCTGGAGGAAAAAAACCAAATTCATTAAAAATCATTCTATTGATTATGAATCATAAATATGATTTGGCTACTAATGGGCAAAATGTACACAATTAATCTACTGAATTATAACCTTGTTCTCAGGCCATTAATACTGTCAACAGTTGTTTTGTCCTGCTTATTTCTCTCGGGGGTTCAGTATAATTTTAATGAGGAAAATATGAATTCCTTCCCTGTTGCCATGCAGACACAGGCGTATTTGCTGGCTTTGGTGTGCTAGCCAAAAGCAGCACATGACATGAACTTAGTCTGTACTACACTGACATCTCTTTTTGTCGAACAAAGCTGACTATCCCTTTGATTGAGCTCTACATTTCCGATGATCAACTCGAGGTTGCCTGTAGTTTGCATATAAGTGTGGCTGGTGAAGTACAGACTGAAGTTGGTCTGTGTATTCATTTTATCCAGACCTGTAGCAAATGGTGACAGACCATTCACCAGAGATGGTGAATCAACCTGTGTAGTGAATCCATTCTGAAGGACAGTCCTCTATCTCCACGGATATTTATCATGCAGTATGGAGACTTTAGGGGCCTTATTCAGCATTTATGATAATGGTCTCAGAGGAAAATCATAGTATCCCAGACTCCTTGTTTGTGAGAAAGCGATCTCATGAAGTAGTAAATGCTGCTCTAGTATTTTGAGTTGCTGGAGAATACTTCAAGACTTGGAGTTGTGTACTGCTTATTATTGTTTTTTTTAAATATAGAAGTCTATTTATTTCCTTTTCTGCTTGTGGTGATATAGGTATCCTTCAACTTATTTTGCCAGATATTGAACTGAACTGACAGAAATGTTGAACTTTGAAATGTAGTAATTAAGTTACTCATCCACTGATTTTTACTGTGCTTGTTCATGTTTTTTGCAGCACTCTCGGAACAAACACACAGTATGTATATATAGGCACACAGTATGGACACTATATGTAGTGTGGTAAAGCTCAAATATGCAGTGTATATATATATATACTATACATAATATACAATGTGTGTGTATATATATATGTAGATATAGTTTAGGTTTCTTTTTCACTAAAACAGTTCTGGCTTCTTCCCCAGCTTTCCACTATTGTCTTTTTCAACCATTTCCCTCTTGCCAAACCCCGCTTAGGGCAGTGAATCATTCTTTCTAACAGTGGTAACAGATACTAATCACAAGGCCCTGAATGTTCCCAGTGTTATGGGAAAATTGCCAAAAGAGGATTAGGATGGTAAGTCTGGTTTCATGTTTCTATAGCTGACATACCTTTTCTGTTATAAAGATAGCTTAATAAGCTATTATAAGAAATAAATTGTGCAACATTATAATGACTCTGCTTTCCTTAGATGACTTTGTTTATATTGCCCTGATGCGATGTAGCTGCCCTGCTCCGTGATGCTACTGAACTTCCGGAACCTTCTACTGATGTGAGGGCTGTGGGAAATGCATGATTGCCATCTTGTGGCACCAGATGTTTCTGGCAAGCATCTGTGCAGTCCCAGCAGCCTCCATCATTTCTGGGCAGCAACAACTACCTAAGCCTTCCTTCTGTTCCCAGAAAATCCAGTTTTACTCTTTTCAACCAAAATTTTCAAGCTAGGTTATTTTATGTACATAGGAAAAACATACATTGAAGTTCTTGGATGGAGCCTAACCTTATTCAACTTCATTATATCCATTTGGGATCACAAAGTTGTGATCCTTGGAGAAAAAGATCACATTTTAATAACTGCCTCAAGTGCAGGGTGCCCAACTTCCCTTGTCATTTATGTGGGTGAGAGAAACTCACCTTAAATACAGATACACAACTTTATTATTTAGTGTAACTGAACTAGCAAAATCTATTCAAAACTTTGTTAAAAGGACTTTGGAGATCTTAGGCCAAAGTGTCCAGTTACAGCTAATTCCTATTAATAAAGTAGCTAAAGCTCACATACACAAGCTTTCTGGTATCTACTCCTTTCTCTTCTGTTATGCTTACCCTGCCTCTGCCCCTGGAGATCCAAAGGCCAGCAAGGGGCTGGAGAAGTCCACTTCTCAAAAAAAAAAAAAAAAAAAAAAAAGATGGGTAGGTGGTTATAGCACATTGTCAGTGTCTTGTGTTCTTCACGAGGAATAAAAACACTGTTGGTGGTGAAGGTCTCTTCCTCTTTGCTCTTAGCTTCACTTAGGGTTGATTTTATTCATTTGCTGCCACTGTCCACTTACTGGCTGTTCATCACTGTCCATTCACTGCTGTACTGGCCAGCAATTTTGCGTTGTTTCCGCAAGTTTTGTCATAAGTGGTTTGTTGTACATTTCTTGGATTCTGCTCTGTATTCTCTTTTGTTATCCCTAAACCCAGTTTTACCTAGTTTCTAAGGCTGCATTCCTGTAGTGAACACTACTTGGCCACCATGATCAGTGTATATCTCAGAGACTCTAGATTTTCAAGGCCTTTGCTATCACAATTTGCTTGTACTTTCGGGGCCCCTCATACAATCCAGTTTTTGCCTACAATCTTTAAGACGTGCCTACCTGATAAAATTACTGGTGTTATATTAACACAACCTAGTCAAGTGTGTGTCCCAATTCTTGGATCTTTGAATTCCAAATAGTTGTCTCTCAGCAGGCAGTTACATACACAGTGCTTTGGTAACCAGTTATTATGAGTACCTGTTGTGACAGTGTCACTGGTAAGTTATCAAGATTGCTTTAAAACACTACTGTGTTCCAGACTAATCAGCAACCATATTTTTTGTCTGGTAACTAGGGATAGCCACATGAAAAATAAGGGACAGTACTTTTCTTTAAGGGTTATTTTATGGGAAAAGCTATTTTCTTAACGTAGTGTTAAGACTATGTTAAAACATAGCCCAAGACTTAAGATTTCTCACCCGTGATCACATTTGACAAAGCAAGACACTTTGTTCCATATAGCCATTATTTAGCCCCTTACATGAGTAAAATTATATGCAGATATCAAACATCTGAATATATAGGGTAATGGTATTTGTGTTACTAGTACTACTTCAACTATAGCCATGAGGAAATACGTATCAAACATATCTCATTGCATTTATGCATCAGCTTTATGAAAAATGGTATCACAGGAACAATTCAAGTGCCAATGAAATGCAATCTTTGTTTGAGATCAAGTTCTGCATCTCAATCAGCAACATGGCTTGTGGAAAATGACCAACGTTCAGCAAAATGAACCAGATTCAGTCACACCTTATCTCTCTCAACATGCTGGGCGTGAGTCAACAATATGTTCTTACCGTGATGTCAGCTCACTGGACCTGCACGTTGATGGCAGTGATCTATTTGGCACCTGTGAGGCCACATCTGGAATATTCTGTCCACTTTTATTCCCCAGAATAAGGGAGAGACCTAGAAAAACTGGGGTGAGTTCAGCAGAAAGTTGCTAAGGTTCTTAAAGGGCTGGAGCACATGCTGTATGAAGCAGAGATGGGTGAACTGGGTTTACTTTGCCTGAGAAGGAAGGGCTTTGTGGGATCTAACTGCAGACCTGAAGTGGGCTTTGGGAGAAGACAGTCAGGCTCTCCTCAGACATGCACCGTGAAATGACTGTAAAATTCAGCAGTAGTGCATAGGGGCGTGATGTAGAAAGATTGCGTGAATGAAGAAAAAGAGAGTAAGAGAAACAAATACCTATGAAATCTTTCTGTGTGGTCTTTTGGGATTTCTCTTATTGTCTTGAAATAGGGAAATATATCCCTTGTTGATGCCCTGATAAATGCATGTAGATGCCCATGCAGAGCAGATGTGCTGCAAATTAATTGTCGGGGGAAAAAACTTAAGCTCTTACCCATACAGAGAACTTAAGGTGAGATTCTGATTGGAAAAGTAACTGAACTGGCATTATGGGCACCCAAATTTGTTATACTTCTGTAGCTTCCACACAGATATAAGCCCATTTGGGTTTTACTGTGGGGCTGGCTGTTGTTCCTTTATAACTGAGAACTGTTAAAAACATATTATGCCGGCTGCATACTGTGTCAGCTTTCCACAGTGCACATGAACTACATTCAAACAGTGGATAGAAGACATTTTGAGTAATTTTATCAGGTACAGACAATCCACTGTGATATTCAGATTGCTCTTAACAGCTACCAAAGTCACCAAAGAGGACTTAAAAGCATTCTGTTTGAAGAAAGCGTTGAACACCTTACACAGTCAGGCATAGCTCTTGGACTGCCATTTGAAGAGTATGGGTATTTATTTTATGAATATCTGCTGGGGAGAACATGATGGGTTTTTTGCTCTGAACAGAATGGAAGCTCAAAGTATTCTGTTTTCTGACATGTTTCAAAATACATTAAAATTTGTAAATTTCAGCTTATTTAAAATACATAGAGAACCAATGAGGTTCTCTACCTAGAGAGCTTATTTTAAATACAATTCATGTTGTTTCTTACTGAAGCACAGTCTGGCAATCTCTGGTGTCAGGCTGAGCAGCCTGCACTGTTATTCTGTTGAGGAGGGCTCACTTCTTATTTTAGTGTTAAGTTATTTGAAGTCCAAATAAGAGTAGTATGAATAGTAATACTATGATAGTTACATTATTGTGTAAAGTAGAATTGTTAATATTATGTCCAGAAATGACTAGTTAATAACTTTAACAAAGGAATTCTGAGCTTTACAAATACAAATTTTATACGTGGGAAATTCCTGTTCTTTTACTGCCAGGAGTCTGTAAAAACATAATAAAACCTGAAAATGCATCTCTATAAAAACATCAGATTTTTCAAATATTCATTGATTTAACTCACATTTTCTTAAAACCTCTGTTGCGGCTTATTGTAAGTTTGAAAAGGAACGATTTATTTGCTTTGTAGATTTGCAACAGAGACCACCTGTTTAACTCATATCCTTCAATAAAAACTGCATGTGTTGCACAAAGCACTTCTGTATCAGGCAGTGAGACAGTGTTAACAAAGGACCGGTGCATAGGCACAGACAATCGGTTAGGTGAGCAGAGAGCACCATTAACACTGCCCTCCCATGGTCTTCAGCAAGGTCAGCATTTCAATTATGTGATGAGTGTGTATGTACTTATGTATAAAAGAGAAGCTGTGAAAGCTCAGTTGCCCCTTGACCCAAGTGTTAAGCAATATTTAGAACCTTTCCAGTCACCGTTAGGAAAAGCAACTGATGAGACTACACATCTCGCTCTCTGGTTCAATCCTTTCCTTCTTTTTAGTTATATTTATTTATAACAAAAAAGACTTCCTTTCAGTGATTTTTCTGTCCAGGCAGCCTGTCCCTCTGCTGTCTTGGAGAGCCATTTTTGGGGCTCTTTATCCTGCTGTCTGCTGGCTTATTCCTCCCTCTGATGCTTGTACATGGGTTCTCTTTGCTCTCAAACAGTAGCGGCAAATCCACTGAGCACACATGACTTTAACTGTCTCAGTACTTGCCTCAGTAGTAACTCCTACTTTTACCACTTTTCCAGTGAATAAAGAGTGAAAAAGACTTCACTTTGATTTAACATATAATATGGTGTTTCTGTGGGCCCAAAGAGCTGGTCTAGCAACTTGCCTCTATTTGGTGGTCGTCTGTTGGGTGAGATGTATCTGGTTGCTGTTTGGGTGAACATGTCATTTACCATTCCAAGTAAACCATAGTTTTACACTAACTCAGCCTGCAGAACTTTCTCATGCGGGGACTTCCCAACGCTTGGTCTGATGCAGGGAGGAAGGAAGTGACATGAAGGTAGGAGTAAGAGAGGTGCAGCACCAATCCTTTCTGGGAGCCTGCAGTCACACTGGACTAGGTTAAATGGGAAACCACACCTGTATGAGGCAGTTCTGTGGTGCTTGAACTGACCAGTGTACCAGCTGCAAGAGCCCTGCCCTCCTCCTGTCCTTTGTTGAAGGCATGGCCCCTGGCCCCTTCCCTGTGATGGCACTAGTGCTTGTAGCAATTATTCCTGAGATGATCAAGGACCAGTGATAAATAATTTTTGGTGAGGTTAATCTTCATGTGGATCACTGGAATCAGCTTCCTCACTCTCTGTGAACTCCAATGCCAAGACAATAAAGTAGGCAGAGTATGACAGCTTGGATTTGTCTTACTTTAAACTGCTATGGAAAACCAGGCTTATTCTTAAGCGACGAAAAAGGAGGTTAGCACTCTCACAATTTGTGAAGTTTAGAAATGAATGATTAGAATGAACTTTATGATTGTCTCTTTTAATAAAAGATCTGCTCAATGATAGCCACTAACACCATTCTGTGTAATAGGATTTTTATGACATATATTTTTTTACTTTTTGAACTCTATTGTTAGCAATTTAATAAAGAACGAGATCCCTTCTAAAACATTCATGCTGTCCTACAGATTGAACAGAGATTAAATCCCTGTTATTGAAAGGATGTAATATTTTATTAAATTGATTTTAGGTTTATAGAGTCATTCATGTAATCTCTCTTTATATTTGAAAGGTCTTTTCAATAGATGTGTGTGACAGGTAGTCGGAAATTTCTTTCCTACAACATACTAATAGGCTGCAGCAGTGGGAGGTGAGAATATGCTCTTTGACTGTTTTGGTAAAGTGAATGCCAGGCTGAAATTTATCCTGTGTCTTGGTGAAGAAGAAAATGGTGTATCTTACACATTTACAGAGTTTAATTTTTGTAAAATCGGGATCCTTTGCAAATGTAACTGGATGGGAGCCTTCACAGGAGGTACTTCAGCTTAATGCTTCTTAATTTAAGCATTACAGATGTGAGGTCCTCTGCTGACAAGTATGTAATTAGGATATATACTGACAAAAAATTGTGCTTACAAGAAATTTGATTAATTTTATGTGCTATATTCAGTGAAATATTACTTATGAAACCAAAGTTGAAGATTTCAGTTGGAGGAGTTAAAAAGTCATATGGACAATTGCTATTGAAAAGTCAGAGAAAATAAAGAAGTTAAAATATCATCACTGGTAAAGCAAATACTTGGGAAATAAAACTTTAATATTTTAAAAATAATAGATGTGAGAAACATTATATTTAAGAGTCTATGTAGAGGAATACTGTGTTTGTTTATTAAGCAGTTTTTGTTTTCTGTGCATTGCTGTATACAACAGATTAGAAAATTTCAAGTTTTGAAGATAATTTTATCCAAACAAACCTGATGCATGACACTGCCATAGCTCCAGAATTAGTACTATAAAATCTGTCATGAGTAGATTAAACCAGAGAGCTGCTAGTTTAAAAGTAGTACTGATCATGGAAGGTATCATGGAAATGCTATGTCACTGAATAAAGAACTGGCTGGACGGCTGGGCCCAAAGAGTGTTGGTGAATGGAGTCAAATCCAGTTGGTGGCTGGTCAGCAGTGGTGTTCCCTGGGGCTCAGTGTTGGGGCCAGTTCTGTTTAATGTCTTTATTGGTGACCTGGATGAGGGGATTGAGTGCAACCTCAGCAAGTTCACAATGGTGAAACTGCACCTCAAATACTGTGCTCAGTTTTGGGTCTCTCACTGCAAGAAAGACATTGAGGTGCTGGAGCATGTCCAGAGAAGGGCGACAGAGCTGGGAAGGGTCTGGAGCACAAGTCCTGTGAGGAGCAGCTGAGGGAGTTGGGGTTGTTAAACCTGGAGAAGAGGAAGCTTAGGCAAGACCTTATTGCTCTCTACAACTGCCTGGAAGCAGAGTGCAGAGAGGTGGGTGTCAGCCTCTTCTCCCAGGTGACAAGCAATAGGACTCAAGTAGTGCCAGGGAAGGTTTAGTTTGGATATAAGGAAAAATTTCCTCACCAAAAGGATTATCAAACATTGGATCAGGCTGCCCAGGAAAGTGGTGGAGTCGTCCACAGTGTAGAAAAAAAATTAACCTTTGTGATGTGATAGGAGATGAGTAGGTGAGTCTAAGGAGTTTGGTCAATTAACTGTTTGGATGAAAGTCTTCCAGAAAGGACTATACACCTTTTCACTATTTCTGCTGAATTTTCATGATTTTGCTTTCAACATCATTGCTGACTTTGCCAGCCTGTGTGCAAAACCAGCAAAGAAGCTGATTCTCAGAGCCACAATGTACCCTTCAGCTATAAGCGTAAATGATGGGGCAGCTGGGACTCAGCTACAGGGCAGTTGGTTCCTCACAAGCCGGGATAGTTCTGCCATACAGCTGTAGAGGTTCTAAGATGCTCTAATGTATCTGAAGTGTTAAAACACAATTTGAATGAACCACTTCTGCCCTCTGGTTCGAACATACAAACTGTATTCCACTTTCTATTTGCGTGGGGCCCAAGGTAGTAGTTTTCACTTCTGAAGCTCTTTAGTATCTCTGCCTTCTGTAACTGGCACTGCTCATTCACTATCAAGGTGAGATTCCTGCCTCTCATTAGCACTCATTGCTCGTGTGTAAACTTTTATATTAGCCTGGAAGGTGTTCCTAGAAATGTTGATGCAGCTACTTCATTATCCCTCCTCAAAGCTTCTCTTTCTGTAGTTACATTTTAGAGAACTCTTCAAAGTTGCTTTCAGACTGGGTACTAGGAAAAAGTTTAACTTAGTGTTGGACTACCATAGCATGGCACGTGGTCTGTTACAGTGTGGTTATCAGCATTTGCCTGGTAAATTTTCTAGTTGCAGCAAGCAAGAATAGATTAGAGTGGATTCTAAGTGCCCGTACTCGAATATGTTCATTTGATGTGTCTGGATAAATTTCGTGTGTCTTGGTGACTGAAAGGTACATCTTCTGCCTCCCAGTATCTGTGATACTTAATGCTCTATTAAAAAAATAAAACCCACAAAAACCACAATGGAAATGAGCTGCTCCACATGTATTCTCTTATCTCTGCTATGTTTGGAAGAATGGTTTCTCCGAAGCCTGTTACAATGAATGTGTTCCCAGTGAACCTGAATGTTCCTGAGTCTTCTGTATCTCGTTTGTTTTCAGATTAATCGTGCCCCAAGCTTTGGAACTGATCAAAAAATAGACTATGATGTGAAAAAGGGTGTTCTGCTAAATGCATTAAAGCTTCTCAACATACGGTAAACTTGCCCTCTCTTCTTCAGTCTGTTGCTTTGATTTCTATTTATTTTTTTATTTATTAATTTGAATAAGACTAGGAGAAAATGAAGACTTTTTTTTCCACCTTCATATTTTCAAGATGTAAATGTTTCCCTTGATGTCAGTTTTGTTATTGAAATTAACCCAAATATAATTTTTCTTCTTCATATGCGTGCAAAAAATGAGTGGTAAAAGTAATTTTTGTACTTTTTTTTTCCCCCCAATGATTTTTCAGACAGGTCTCAAAGTGGGATATAAGTGCAGTCATTGGCATGTGGCCACACAGGAAATCTGCTTTTCTGATAGTTTCAAATACAGCCAAAAGCCATATCCCTCTACAGGAAAACTTTGTAGTTGGGATATGTTGGAAAAAATCTGTATGTCAGAAAAGTAGATACAACCATGTTTGTATGTTAAATTATAGTACAGAGTCATTACAGTACATCTTAAAGTGTGAAAGTATTGTAACCATAAGAGTTAATATTAAAAAAATTAATGAGTTTTTCAATTTTAATTTTATATGAAAAATGGCGCATGACTGACTGGAAAATACAGATGATATGCTTGAGATGAAGGTGCATCTCAGCTGCATTGGAATGACATTTCTTAATATCATCTGTGTTTCAGGACAAGCGATAAAAGGAGAAATTTAGCTCAACAGAAGGCCGAGGCTCAAAAAAGACTGTATGGTCAAGGTTCAATGAAAAAACTGTTGCCAGGTTCCTCAGACTGGGAGAAACAGCGCCATACACTGGAAAGGAGAAAAGAAGAACTGGTAGGAAGGAAAAAATATACTGTTTCTTGCCCATGGCTTATGGTCTCTTTGTTTAATTGTCTTATTTTATTGATTTGTAGAAGGAAAGACTTGCACAAGTACGTAAACAAATTTCCAAAGAGGAGCATGAAAACAGACACATGGGGAACTACAGGTAACTATATTTGACTGTATTAGTAGGGATTATTCAATGGATTCTTTAGGAATAATGGTAACAAGTATTTGTTGTAGATGATGATTTTCTGCAAAAACTGTGTAGGTATTCATAGAAAATGATACACATACACCAGGTAGTAAAGTTTTTTAGTTTTTTATTCAGATAGGGGTTTTTTTTCTCTGCTTTTTTGAGCAGATGTTCTGTAATTCCCAGTAATTTCTCATGTAAACATAGATGTTTCTGTGAAATTTTCATTTTTGATGAATTAACATTTTGCTTACAAAAGGTCTTCTTTTGTAAAATTCCCAGCTTTAATTAGATCCTTTCTTGGCATATATGGAGCTGAACCAGTACATCAAAACACCCCCACAATGAAGCAATTATTTTCATGCTACTTAGACTATAAGAAAGAGAAACATCATGATGCTTTAATATATTTTTGTTTTTTCTATAACTTTAAAGTCTAACATTTTTAATGAACACATTTTAGGTTGCTTATTCAGTTCTTGATTGAAAATGAGCCAGATGTTCTCTTTATTTAGCATTTTGGTTAATGTAAATCAAGAAAAATACAAAAATATTTTTTTCCTCAGGAAAAAGTGAAGTGTCAGACATTTCATGAGGAATGTGCTCATGTAAAAGGGCAGAACAGCTTTGTGTTTTCTTATTTCCATGTGTTTGCAAAAGTGCTGAAGAATCAACAGAGCCTGAGAAGTAAGGGAATCTTGGCTAGAGATGCAGAGGAATTCTATCTGAGCATTATGTGGTATTTTCTCCTGCCTGTTCTCCTGCAAACCAGGACTAACTTCTGTCAGGCATTGCCAGTACTTCTGCATGGATTAATATTGCTCTCTGAATAAAAATCCAGAGAAACCTCAATCAACCTCAGCAGGCTCTGATTTAATCTATGGATGTCAGTTCAGCAATTGGCCTAGTCAAGTGCTGGTCTTGGTCAAAGCAGGAGCCATGCTTTCCAGCACTAGTGAATCCATGAGAAACTGAGAAGGATATATATGACTTTGAAATGGCCTTTAGTTGCAGTGTATTTCTACATATATTAAAGTGAATATCCTTTCTTCAAAGTATTCTGCTATGGCACTTTTTCAGCAGTAGAATCAACATAGTTTAAAAGTGTTGACTGCAACCGAGATTAGAGCTCCTACAGGTATTTTATGCAAACTGGTACCATCTTCAGTTTGCTATAGAACTGCCCTGAGTCTAATGGGATCATAACCATCCTTTTTTCATTGCAACAAAATCATCATGAAAGGTACCGTTTCAAGGAGGAAAAGTCTGAAAAGCAAGAAGGAGAAAAGACCTTTTAAAAATTCACAGAAGGTCCACCAAAACATGAAAGTCACATAATGCCAGTCAACGTATAAATGGTACCTATGCTTTGCACGGTGAAGGCAGAATTAATTTATGGATTAGTCGTTACAATGCATTAGAAATTAGTCTTCGACCTTCATAATTTCTGGCAGTGTTTCAGGCATTCATGACAGAATGATTGGAGTGGTTTTCTTCAAAGCCCATTTTGCTTGATGAGCATTAATAAATCACCAAGTCCTGCTTCTCATATCATCAGAATCTCCTTACCTGAGGTTTTAGAGAATAATGGTGTAGCTGGTCTAATGGAAAATCAGAGTCACCCTGTACATCTGTGTACCAGATAAATTTTTTTCTTATAATACCTGTTTCTTCCTATTCATTATTTTGGATGATTTAGCATTCAAGAGCAGTACATACTCAGTCTTTAATTTACATCATGCCCATTAGCTCCAAGCAGTTCAGATTTTCACTGCTTTGTGTCTTTTTATTGCTAATACAAATTATTTTGTGGCTCTGAATTTTACATGCAATATTTTGTTAATATTTCATGTATCATTCACACCTGCATGCAAGTTTCACACCCACTGAAATTTCAGAGTACTGCAAAACTGAGTTTTGGTATACTTCTGGAATGACCTGCATGGTATTTCTTTTGACTGGCTAATTGCTGGTTTAAACATGAATATGTTCACTGAGTTAAAATTAGATTTAGAGAGCATGTTCAGAGTATATGTCTTATGAGATGATATATGATTATTATAGATGGGATGAGTATGCATTACAAAAGAGACTGTGAATTAGCTGCATTACTTTAGTGCCTAGTGTGATAAGTAGCTCAGCTTCTGTCTTAAACTCAGTTTTGTTTTTTCCCTATTTTAGGCGAATTTACCCTCCTGATGATAAGACATTACTGGAAAAGTATGAGAGTTTGTTAGCCACTGCTTTCCAGACGTTTCTTGCTGGGAGAGCAGCTTCACTTCAGAGGGAAATGAATAACCCTTTAAAAAGAATGAAGGTACTGAAGCATAAGTAGTATTGGCTTTAGGAGTTATTTATCTTGGAATTCATGGCCTTGTGGATTAGTTGCACAATAATCGTATGATGGCTAATAAATAGCATTTGATAATGTTTCCATCATTTTATTATTATTCTTTGTGCAGCTTGTGGGCCAGATCCTTGAATCTGGATGAACTGCAGTGGACCCAGGGTGGAGACAGGCTAGATGGCTTTAAGCTACTTTACCATTTCCCTGATCCTCAGCCTTACCCCTGGCCAAACCAGAGGTTGGCAGAAACTGCTTTTGAGCTGGTAATTGCCTCCTTCTTCCTCCAGTAATATCCCCAGACTGTTCATCCACTTGTACGGACTGGAACGAGAGATATTTTAAGACCAGCTCCACTAGATTAAGGCATCCAAAAACTCTGCCTGATTGGCTATATTTAAAATAACCAGCTAACGCAATTTAATTTGAAATCTGAGAAATAATTTCCCATCTTTGTAGTTGGCATCGCATAATCTAGCAGGGTTGATTCTTTGTTCAACCCTTTCTTCAGACTTTTATCTTTAAAAAATGTTAAGGCTTGATTTTAAATTTCAGTTTCATCTTGTGTGCAAGCAGAGATGCATGCATCAAAAGGAATGCTTTTATATCCTCCTCTGAAGGGATTCATAGTCTTATTTCAGGAATTAGTAATTGAAGTAATTTCAAATGCCTACCACTTGGCACCTGAATTCTGTAAGGATAGGATATATCCTGCTTTTCATTAATTGTGAAATTCCCATTTCTAGGAGGAGGACATTTTGGATCTTCTGGAGCAGTGTGAAATAGATGATGAAAAACTAATGGGAAAATGCACCAGGCAGCGTGGGCCTAAGGTATTTGCCTTTTAGATACCAAATTTTTATTTCACTCTGCAGAGAGGTAGTCTGTGAACTTTAAGTGGGGAATTTAGTTAGCTGATCCTGGTGGAAGTTTTCTTCCACAGACTGCCTCAGCCTTTTTTTAATAAGTGTGAAGAGAAGCATAACTCCCATTTGTTCAACTAAATCCCACTAAAATTTTAACTGGATATGAGATCCTTCTTTTCCTTGCTAAGCTATTTTGAGGAATTGTTGTACATGGCAACAACTGTTATACAAGAGATTGCTTGATTTCAGTGTGTGAAATGATTTTTATATCCATAGCCTATTTCAAAAGAATGCTTTCATCTTTAATCGATTAGTGCCTTTAAGGAATTTAGAGATCATGGGATAAAAGGCACTATGGAAGCTCAAAGGATTAATTATGATTATGATGTATCTGTAGCTTGCTTACTTGCTAAAAGGGTTGTACATTCTATCTTGGAGCCTATTTCATGTCCAAAATCTGCTTTTAAAGTGAATGTATATTATTTTTAGCTTAATGATTTCTGGTTGTGTGCCTAGTTCATGCAAGTCTTTGCCTTAAATACACTGCATATCTCTGTAAGCCAGTAAAGATAAATAGTTTGGGCTTGGCTAAAATAATTATGTTTCTTACATCCTGCAAGCATTTTAGGTCATGTCTGTTTAGAAGAGCCTAAATTTATGTTCCTGAACTCTGATGTATTTGTTTATAGATACATGTACATTTTTTTTACTGCATTTTATGTTTCTGATGAGATGGTGTACAAATCTAGGAATTTCTCTACAAAATGAATGCTGAAAATTGTCCTGAGCTTGCAGAGATACTTTATATATGTGCAAGAATCCAAAGAGCTACATCTTACTACAGGCGTGTGTATTGGAAAGAGGATCTGCATACCCAATCTGGTATTAAGATAGATTTGCAGGAACCTCATTACAAATATGGGGATTTTGTGAGCTAGTGCTTTAACAGCAGTGGGTGGATTCATTTAAAGAAGAGAAAAAAAAATGCAGTCCACCCTGGCAGCACACTCAACTCACGTTCTTCTGGGATTCTTTTCCCTGAGGTTTTGTTTTCAGTTCTTTACCATAGGGTCACTTAATTTGCGTTCAACATCTCAGTCACACTCTTCCTTTTTCCGGAAGCCTGGCTTTTCCCAGCAGCCCTCAGAGAGCATCTATCTGTTTGACTGTGTGCACACAGACTTGATCTATACTATCTCTACACTGGCTGCACACAAGCCATTCCCAAGCTGGAGGCCATAAACATTTAGCAGGGTACTGAGCCCAAATTGAGAAACCTCTCTTAATTAGTTTTAAGATGAAGTTTGATCCATTTGTGGATGAGACTATATGACATGGTCTTCTTTTATAGCAGCACAATACTGTTTGCACCCATAGGAGAAATCAAAATCCCCATTTTTTTTCTTTGCCATAAAATCGATGAAATCAAAAGGGAAGGCAATGAAACTAGCTTATCCACGGAGATTGTTTCTTTTCATTGCAGTGTGCACACTTCATGCTGTACAGGATCTCTATTCCTGCATCTTTTTTAGGGTCCTGATATCCTTCTCAGTCATTTAAACTGTGCCTACAGTGAAGCCATGTGACTGGAGAGTTCCCTGGTTGCATAATATCCTATGCACTCCCTTTGAAATACAGATGCCCATTGCGGATGGTCCTTGTGTCTTGTACCGAAAGAGCATCACCTCTTTCCTGTAAGGGGTAAGGTGCATATGGCTAATAATACGCATTTGATTGGCCACCTCTTTGTAAAGGGTCTGCTGAGAGATATGTAGTATCTAAATATGTATCTGTACAGAAATCTGGTGAGTGAGGTGGGCCATAGAACTTGCTAATGCCTGCCGGTCTATCAGGCAAGAGAATAATCCAGCTGTAGAACTCATCTTCTTGTAATCGTAAAATCCTACAAATAAAGATCCATTAGCATATCAAAAAAGTAACATATGTAAAATCTGGTAGACACAACAGATCTGAAAGAACAATACTTTTCATGTCATGTTACCCAACATGATTTGTTGTTTTAGGTCATAAAATACTGTCCTCCCCTAAAAGTCAGTGGCTGGCCTGCTGACAAAAGCTATTGTTAGGATGTCAGATGCTCTGCCTTTGGTGCACTCTCTTCCCTGGAAAACAGAACAGTCAGGACTCGGAAAACTCTATACAGAACAGCTGGAATTGTTAGGAAAGAGAGAGTGTTTTCCTCCTTCTCCTCCTCCATACATGGAAACATGCATATAGGGGGGTAGAGAGGTGTGTGTATAAATAAACTTTGCATATAACAAGTATTCCTAGTTTGCTACGAATTTAAGACTTATTTTTATTGAAATGTGAACTCAGGGTAGAAAACAAGTCAAGAATTTCCTAGAATTAAGGCATATTTGCCTGCAATTAGTTGCAAACTTAGATGTCTGTTTCATTTTTAGCCTCTAGAGGGCCCCTTAACCTTACACACAGCAAGGTTTACTCATGCTTATTACATTGTGCCTGGTTGAGCAGGAAAAAGAACTAAGTAAATAAAATAACAGATATTTTAGAGGAAATGAGCAATTACTTTTCCTTTTATTCTTCTGATATAAAATCAGATGAGTTTAATCAAAGAAAAATCAGGTTAGCATAAGGGGAAAATCAAGGTGATTAGAATTGCTAAGCAATCAAATGTCTCTTATTTCAAGAGGTCAGTTTAAACTCAGATCTGTCTTTTTTTTTTTGTCATTATTGCTTTTTGTCATTTCTTTGACCATTCTTTTTATTCTTATTTGTTAACTGATGTGAAGTCTTCATCAGGATGTTCTTATTGTTTAGTATGGAATATGTGAGGAACATGCACATCATAGGTGGGAATGAGATCTACCTTAAAGCTGTTGTGAGTTTGGATTGAAAAATATTTATTATAACTTTTAGAACTCATCGGGAATGTCTGATCAATATATCTCCCATGATACACAACTCTTCATGATTAGGACAGCTATTTTTGAGAAACAGTAAGTGTTGAGGCACCTGAATTTGTCCTTTTGGCAGGTAGATATATAAATATTCTTTGAACAAATGCCAGGGCCCTGCTGCATGGAATGTACTTCTTCAACTCTTCCTTATCTGGTCTAACAGCTTGGGCTTGCATAAACATACTGTTGCTTTTAAGTTAGTGGCAGAAATCTCTTTCCTTCCTTGACTGGAATAGAAGTTTAAGTAGAATATGTTTGCTTACACTGTAAGTGTATCTTTCAGGAACAGGATCTTTGGGGCTTTGTTCTATTGCCCTTCACAATAAATCTAGCTGCATAACATTATGCTAAAATAATAGGGCAATTTAAATTAATCCTGAGCATTCTTATATTTCATTCTAACTCAAAATATGTTCAGAAATTGTGATATGATTTTTTTAAAATCTGAATGTCAGTTGCAGTACATTAGATGACTAGGAAGATGAACTTACCACCATAGCTACTTAGAGCTGAGAGCTACTGGAAAGAAAATGTGTAGAAAAAAATTCTTAAAAGACTAGATTTATTGGAGGTTATTGCATTTTTCTTGTCTGCCTGACAGTAGATGTAGGAAGAAAAAATTTCATTTGTAGCTTCTGTGTTTCCATCAGTTTCTCTGTCTCCTACTTTTTGCTTTTTGTCTCACAGTATCTTTGGTAATAGCACAAGATTAATTACCTAATCACACCAAATCCCATATGCGTGCAGGACACCAAATACACCTAGCATAGCTTGCTATATTCTTCCAGTCTCTGCCCTCTGCATGATGTGGATTAATCACTTGATCTTTCAGAAGTCTACCAGTCAAAGTTCCCTCAGGTGTTTCTTTACATTGATCATCGTTAAACTATAGGTTCATTTATTGCAAATATCATAGAATCATCATAGAATCATAGAATGCTTTGGGTTGGAAGGGATCTTAAAGATCACCCAGTTCCAACCCCCCTGCCATGGGCAGGGACACCTTCCACTAGACCAGGTTGCTCAAAGCCTCATCCAGCCTGGCCTTGAAGACATCCAGGGATGGGGCATCCACAACATCTCTGGGCAACCTGTTCCACTGCCTCACCACCCTCTCTGGGAAGAAGTTCTGCTTGATGTCCAATATGAATCTACCCTCTTTCAATTTAAACCTGTTACCCCTTGTCCTATCAATACAGGCCTTTGTAAAAAGACACCCCACCACCCCAGCTTTCTTGCAGGCCCCCTTCAGGTACTGGAAGGTGCTATAAGGTCTCCCCGGAGCCTTCTCTTCTCCAGGCTGAACAAGCCCAACTCTCTCAGCCTGTCCCCATAGCAGAGGGGCTCCAGCCCTCTGAGCATCTTCGTGGCCTCCTCTGGACTCGCTCCAACTGATTGATCTTGTCTTTATGTTGAGGGCCCCACTCCTGGACGCAGCACTCCAGGTGGGGTCTCACAAGAGCAGAGCAGAGGGGGAGAATCCCCTCCCTTGACCTGATGGCCACACTTCCCTGGATACAGCCCAGGATACGGTTGGCTTTCTAGACTGCCAGCGCACACTGCTGGCTCATGTCCAGCTTTTCATCCACCAGTACCCCAAGTCCTTCTCCTCAGGGCTGCTCTCAATCCATTCTCTGCCCAGCCTGTACTTGTGCTTGGGATTGCCCCGACCCGGGTGCAGGACCTTGCGCTTGGCCTTGTTGAACTCCATGAGGCTGGCACAGGCCCACCTCTCCAGCCTGTCCAGGTCCCTCTGGATGTCATTCTTATCAGTGAGGGATTGAAACTGATTGTAAAAGGTATTCTGTATCAATTGATTTATGATTTCAAACTATAATTCAATATGTCTGGTAGTGTAAGTCATTCTTGAAATAAAGTAATATTTTACCCGTTGCTGTATTATGCTGCTCTTCATGTAAGAAAGATTATGATTACTGTGTAGTGAGTTTCATTAAATATTTAAGCATTTATTTTAAAACTAAGGACAAACTTTCAATCTAATTTGGGAGCGTTTACATATGTATAAATAAACCGGCCTGAATCAGGAACCTACTGTGAGAGTAAGGTATTCTTTTAGGATTATGAAGAAATTTAATTTCTTGGGTGTGGGGTTTTTTTTTAATATCTCTTCTTTTTTTTTTTTTTTTTCTTGCATTAGCCGTTGTGTTCAATGCCTGAAAGTGCACAGTCCTTAAGAAAACTTAAGAACTATGCTAGTGATAGTAGCTGTGATAGCGGTAGTAGTATGTCAGAATCGGGAGAAGAAACTGAAAAGGAAGATCACAAAGAAAAAAAAGAGAAAAAAGTTTCATATGATCTTGAAGAAAATAAATGCAAATCTTTGGAACGATCAGGTAGGTGAGATTATCACTTTTCCAAGTCAGTCTGGCATTCACAATGAATTATATTAAACTCTTCAGTGTCTTAGAATGTATCAACATTTGTAACTCAGTTAAACACTGGTTTGCTTGTTTTTCCTTCTTTAAAATCTTCTCTAAATTAATGAAAATGAATTTTAGAAAACCAATATTCTTTGGCCAAGAATGCTAGAGAAAAATACAATGCACGAGAAAAATACACCCAGGCTGCCACACTGGCTACAGCTGGAAATAGTGAGTGTTCTTTGCTCTTAGATTTCTTTTTGAGCAGATTGTAATTTTTTTTTCCCTGTAAAAGGTAGTCTTATTGAGCTTGAATTTGCTGGAATATAGAAAGGATAAAGAAATATGTCTGGAGACATACAGAAGGTAATATGTTCCAGATGAGATCTCTGTACAGATTTTTTTTTTTTGGTGATTGTTTTCTTGCTTGCTGCAGAGCATTAGTGTAAGGATGTTCTGTTGAACATGGTCAGTATAATGTTTTATTTTTTGTTTTAGTAGTATATTGGTTCAAAGAATTTCACCATGTAATTGCACATAGATAATGCTGCTTCTAAAATTTTATTTTCCATAACAGCATCCTTTATTTAGCAGACGACTGAATTAAAAAACTCTACAGCTATGCAGTAGCAGATGAGTGAGACCAGATCTGCAAATCTGGGATCCATCATCCAAATTTTCTCTCCTCCTTCCATATTCTTACAGGCAGGATGCTGCACATAGTAGCCATATACTTTTTGACCTATAGGATATACGCACTCTATCATAAGTCTGATGCATGTTTAAAGGACTGAAGTCTACCTGATTAAAGCTGACTCTGAGGAAGAAATAAATGTTCTTACAGCATATGTAAAGTATGTACTATTAAAGGATCTGACATGACTGCTGTATATATAGTTGTTAGTCAACATGCATGTGCTGGGTTTAGTCAGGAAAGAGTTAACTCTCTTTACTGTGGCAGCTATGAAGCTGTGTTCCTGGATGCAGAGAGCAGCACTGATAAGGTCTCAGCTGGCACTGGGCAATGCCTGCACTGAATTCAAGGTCTTTCTCCACTTCTGATCCTGCAGCTGCGTTCCCAGCTCTCGCTGTCTCGCTACGGGCAGTGCAGGGGACACACAGCTCAGGCACCTGACCCAAACTGACCAAGGGAGTATTTCATTCCATAGTACGTCATGCTCGGGGCAGAGTCGAGGAGGGGGTCCGAGAGCCATTAATCTCCTACTCTCTTGCTCGTTTACTCCCATACACTTGCTGACACTCTCTGAATCCTGCATTAGCTGCTTTGCTGACTCCTGTGCTGGCTCATTCATGAGGGAGTTGGTGGGTTTGTTTAGTTTTCCCACTCATGCTATCGCTGATAGGGTTCGCTCGGAATCTGCTGCGACAGCTCTCGGGCTCTGGCCCTCGGGCTGCGACTCTCGGCCTGCGATCGCTGTTGGGCTCCCTGGCTCTGACTGTCACATCTCAGCACCTGGTTGTGCA